AAATGTTAATTATATGCAAAATTAGCTAATCTTTAAATGACGTCCAAAGTATAAGATTTAGATATCAATGAGTATAATGTTGTCGATTTTCAAAGTAGGAGTTGTCTAATTTCAATTAAAAACTTCGGGAATTTAATTTTAACATTATTTTCAAAACAACAGTAATAAAAAGTTATAATTTTCAAAAATTTTGTTAATATTCTGAACAGTGTTTTCTAAGATCTAATAATAAAAATTAAATTAACATTTGCTTAAAGATTATTATTAATAATTTTTAAATATTAATACAGTATAACATAAATTAAATTAAATGTTTAGATTTACGTCTAAAACCAGTTTTCCGGTTATTTTGACATTGAATTTTGAATCCAAACACTTTACTATTTATATGAAATTTATTAATACATAAATCTTAAAGGTTTCAAAATATATTTGTGTTTAAATCAAATAGATATTTAAATTAGATTGAAGCCAGCTCTCCATTAGGAAACTTATCACGAATTTATTGAAAAACTTAAAGAATAGGAATATTTGACAAAAATATGAAAATAATTATTCAAATTTGTTCCCAAGGCTAATTTGGTAAATGTAATTAAACATTTACCATTGTTTTTATTATGATTATATTTGGAAATCAAGTTAATATAGTTATTGATAATAAATTAAAACAACCATACTATTACCTAATATTCTTAAACTTATAACCTAATATGCTTAAATGATAAGTTTAGTATTTAAGTGATAACAATATGAATGTAAATCAAAATTTGCATTTAAATTACAGGTCGTAAGAAGTCGACGGAGTATTGATTGTACGGCTAATTCATCATCGTGCTGTAGGGAAAGTTTTTACGTTAACTTCACTACAATTGGTATTAAATAGCATACATGAAAATTGTTTGAAAATAAATAATAATTAGAAAATACTCTCAATTTGTAAGGTTGGGACAATTGGATTTTGCAACCCATTGGTTATAACGCCAATTATTGTAGAGGTAATCATCACTATTGAATTCCG